GCCCCGGGGTCAGGCGGGGACGGCGGGAGGGTTCTCCTGCGGGGTTTAAAGGTGTCTCTGGAAAATCAGCAAAACTCAGTGGTGAATGGGAAGCCAACAGTTTGCGAAGCAGGGAAGCGGGCCGCGCCGGGGTGAGGGAAATGAGCTAGAATTGATAAGGACAGCTCCCGCCTCTGCAGAGCCCACTGAGCTGTCCTCGGCGCGCTCCGCTGCACTTTCCCGGGAGAAGAAAGGGCTTTATCTCCAACCTCAGACTGTTAGCCTAGGAGTTCTCGGGGCAGCGCGGATAACCGACGGGGTTCCGGCTTTTAGGGGGCTCAGAATCGCACACCCGCACGCCTGTCTGGCCCCCTTTCCTACCAGCCACCCCCTTTAAAAAAACAAAACAAAACAAAAAAACCAAAAACAAAAATCTGGGCCAACTACAGAACGCACAGCTTCCAGCAAGAGTTGAGCCGGGGCCGCCGTCGGTCGCCTCTTCGCTCTCGGGGCGCCCCGACTTCCTCCACTCCCAGCCTTTCCCTTCCTCCGGCCCGGCATGGACAAGAGCTCACGAGGTGCCTCGGCCTCAGCCGCCACTTTGCCGTCGTTGCTGCCACCTCTGTCGCTGCCGAGAGCCGAGCCGGGGCGGTTTTAGGAAAGTGAGGGACAAGTGTGTAAGAGCGGGGAGCAGAACGGGCGCCCGGACCCCAGACCGCGGATCTGTTCGGGCCGGGGTCCTCAGAGCGCAGGGAGGGGGCCAAACTCAGCCTTGATTGTTGTTCTTTGCCCTCCCCACCCCTTCACACCCTTCCCCACCCGACCACACACCACCCCTCCGCCACCCTACTCCCCCTCCCATCCCCCAAAAAACCCCTGTCTGCCAGGTTGGAGGAGGGTTTAAAGCCAGGTGCGCCGAGTCTGCTCGCCATGTCCAGATCCGGGGACAGGACCTCCACCTTCGACCCCAGCCACAGCGACAACCTGCTGCACGGCCTCAACCTGCTGTGGCGGAAGCAGCTGTTTTGCGACGTGACCCTGACGGCCCAGGGCCAGCAGTTCCACTGCCACAAGGCCGTGCTGGCCTCCTGCTCGCAGTACTTCCGATCGCTCTTCTCCAGCCACCCCCCTCTCGGGGGAGGGGTCGGTGGCCAGGACGGCCTTGGGGCCCCCAAGGACCAGCAGCAGCCCACACCGCAGCCTCAGTCGACCCAGCAGCCTCCACCGCCGCCACAGGAGGAGCCCGGGACTCCTTCCTCCTCCCCCGACGACAAGCTGCTGACCAGCCCCCGGGCCATCAACAACCTGGTGCTGCAGGGCTGCTCGTCCATCGGGCTGCGCCTGGTGCTCGAGTACCTCTACACGGCCAACGTGACCCTCTCCCTGGACACCGTGGAGGAGGTGCTGTCGGTCAGCAAGATCCTGCACATCCCCCAGGTCACCAAGCTCTGTGTGCAGTTCCTCAACGACCAGATCTCGGTGCAGAATTACAAGCAGGTGTGTAAGATAGCTGCGCTGCACGGCCTGGAGGAGACCAAGAAGCTGGCCAACAAGTACCTCGTGGAGGACGTGCTGCTCCTCAACTTCGAGGAGATGCGCGCCTTGCTGGACTCGCTGCCGCCCCCCGTGGAGTCGGAACTGGCGCTCTTCCAGATGTCCGTGCTGTGGCTGGAGCACGACCGCGAGACCCGCATGCAGTACGCGCCGGACCTCATGAAGCGCCTCCGCTTCGCGCTCATCCCGGCCCCAGAGCTCGTGGAGCGAGTCCAGTCAGTGGATTTCATGCGCACCGACCCTGTCTGCCAGAAGCTGCTGCTGGACGCCATGAACTACCACCTGATGCCCTTCAGACAGCACTGCAGGCAGAGCCTGGCCAGCAGGTAGGAGACAACGGAGGTGGGGGAGAGCGGGCAGGAAGGAGGGGGGAGAGGGTTGGACTGGGCCGGAGGCTTCCACTGGCTGAAAACAAACAGGAACAATTCAAGTGTCGTGGAGAAAAGTTGATTTCAGAGCCCCTGCAAGGTCAGTAGGGAACTGGCCCTAACAGCATCCCTGAGCTCACAGAGGTCCTGCTTGCTTCTCTCCACATCCCAGAGCTGGGAGGGTAAGAACTGTGGATTCAGACTGAAATTGACAGGCAGGTGGGGCCAGGCCAGAGACCTTAGAAGTGCAGCTTTGGAAGCCTCTCTATCCTAGCTTTCCTTCCAGATCTCAAGCCCGGCTTGCTAGAGGGAAAGGATTCTGTAGTAAGGCCGCACCCTTCCCCTTTCCTGTATTGGGCCAGCATAAGTGCCCTGGGGATGCTGGCAGAGGAGAGCATTCATAGTCCTCACACTTACCCAAGTTGGGTTTGTTTGTTTGTTTGTTTTGCTTTTTCTCCTGATTGAGCCTGGCTCCCTTTGGAGATTGGAACTCCAGGGTGGCAATTGGAAATGCTGGCATCCTGTGGCCACACAAACTTTTCCATCTTGCAAAAATCCTTTCCTTTTCACCTTCTACAAGAGAACAGAGCAAAAGGTTTCAGAGTGGTGGAGTGAATCTTCCCATTCATTTCCATCTCAAAAAAGAGTGCAGTTGAAAATTGGGAAGGGGTGTCTCTTGTTGGTCTGGGAGCTGGTCGGTCCACAAGTCACAAAGAAGTTAGAGTTGTTGAGGCTGGTGTTGCTATTTAGAATGTGTCTGTGTATGTGTTGAAAATAGGATTTCATGTCAAAAGGGGGAAAGAAATGATGCCTTTTTAAAATGTTGCTGAGATGTAAAGGCTAGAAGAATTGACAGTCATGTTTTATTGGCTCCAATTTTAAAACCCTTTTTAATGAGCCTTAGCACAAGATTTCTTTCTCTTTCTACACAAGAGAAACAGTATCCTATCAGTTTCTCATGATAAAGCATCCTGATTGGAGATGCCAGGCTACTCCAGCCCGACCCACCAAAGTAATACATTAGGAAAGTAGATGGCTTAAAAATTTGCCCTGGCATATTCTCGTGCAGGTTGGCACCCAAGTCCACTTTGTGCAGCCTTTTGGAAGTAAATGAGAAGGTCACAGGCTTTTTCATCATGTTTCTACCAGACCTAGGTAACTGAAGTTTTGAGGTATGGAAGATACTATCCACAGTTGTTGAGGCAGCACTAGTGTTAGGGTGAAGTTAGCAAGGGAATAGGGAATCGTGGACTCATAAGGAATCCCACAAGTTGATTTTTCTAATATCTGAGAGAGAGAACGAATGTCTTGTGGTGTCCAAAGATGACAATTAGACAATAGCAGGATCCAGAATCCCAAATCCACTTGTACTTGAACATTGAGCACAGGAGTCCAAGTTGAGAACAAGGCGTGAAATGTGTTTTCATTTTTTAAGTTTTTCAATGTATTCAAAGATTGTGATGGGCTATAATTACCCACCAGTGGGCATGGAAGATTGACATCCTGTTGTTTTAATTTTTATCACTTTTAAAACACCCACAAGTATACTTCATTAGCCTCTGTCACACAGTATCAAGAACTTGGACTCCAATTATAATCCTGAAAAGACTTTTCTTTTGTATTTTTAAAGAAACCCAGAGGGATAATACAGTTAACATTTGGCTTATTATTCTAAGAGTAATTTGGGTGGATGAGCTTTATAAATGTAACACAATAAATAATTTCTGGAACCCTCAATACACTCTTATCTGTAAGGATGTCCTTGGATTCCATGTTAGGAGAGTTGACTTTCAAAATGCAAAGTCTATTTCCTCCCTTCCTCTGGATTCAGCATACACCTGGGGCCTGCTGGCTCTGCCCTGGTGGGTGGCTGAGATACCAGACTGGCTGGCTCCCTGACGACATCTTCCAGCTTCACTGGGCCACATCATTTGAAGGCTATGTAGCAGTGTCTGACCACTGAATGCTTACAAGTGTCATGGATGCTGCAGGAATCTGATACTTCTGTGGTAGGAAAAAAACTGCATTTTCCTTCAAAAGAAGAAGGCATAGAAAATAGGGTAGTTCACATGAACCAATTGTTAATTTCAAAGTTAATACATTTTAGATTTTTTTACATTATCAGCAACTGTAACATTTCCAATTTTAGGGCCAAATCACATTGTTTTAATTTTAATTCACAGGAATTGCAAAAATAACCATCCAGATCTTAACTTTAATGTAGGAAAAATGCTGCAAGTTGCAAATCAATGATATTAAATGAGCCCATTTATTATAGCATCAGCATAATACAAAAATGTTTTCTCAGCCTTACATGAGTTTAACAGGAGGATAAATGTAGTAACCTATTGTTTTTGAGATTACATCACTTTTATAGAAGACAATTGAGTGGAAGGACATTGAATCTATTATTTTTTACCCACCCGTAGTTTTTAAAGTCTGAATACAGAAGCATTCCTCAAAATTTGAGAGGGAGAATGGAATCTAAAATTGATCTGTTGGAATGAGTACAAAATATAAGCAAATAACTCCAAAATAATCCACTTATTTAAGAATATATATCTATAGAGAGTAAAAATGTTGGTATAATGATAATAGTTTAAACATGATTGTGACGATTATTAAGTCACTTTGGAGTTTTTATTTTCTAGAAACAGCAGCCCAATTACAAGATCTTTATGCAAATATTCAATTTAAATTTTGCTCTAGCTGCTCAGTTTGCACTCAGATTCATATTCTATTTTTAACAAAATTAGGACAATAAATAAAATAAGAGATTTGTCACCTTGTATTCAAATACATTCATAAGTATTTTAATGTCACAAGACTTGACAAAGCATATAAAGTTTGTTAGACAGGAGGGATAAGTTTTATTGATCAATTACACAGCATAGTGCTCATAGTTAATAATAATGTATTTCAAAATTGCTGAAAGGTCAAATTTTAAACACTCCCACCACCAAAAGCAAAACCTGATATGTAGGTGATGTGAATGATATATTGAGTCTTGATTTAATCATTCTTTAATGTATACATATATCAAAACTGTACACTGTATGTGCATTTATATCTATATATATAATTTTATCTTTAAATTAAATTTTTGAACTTTTAAGCAAGATTATAGGACTTAAGTAGACTAAAATAAAATATTTTGAAGTCATTTCTTGTCTATTTTCTTTGTATTATAAGAAACAAAACAATTTGAAGAGGAAGTAAGTTAAGCCTTTGAAAGTCTCTATAAAACTCAATCTCAAAGTTTTCTAAGTCAAAATTGTAATTTAATATGGTAACTTGATATGCAAAGCTTAATATATTAAAAAATAATTATCTGAAGACTGTAGTATAAGCAATAGTTTTAGAGTGTAGACTTGCAAGTCAGTAACTTATAGTATAGAAGACTAATTTTACCTTAAGTAACACAAAAATTTCTTTTATATCTATATTATAAATTTGAATTCATAATTCAATAATTGTCCCAACTACATCAAGTTGAACAGGCATAATTAACTTATTTTTATATTTTTCACTGTAACTCACACCTCAATGTAGCAGTTAAATGCTTACTGAAAGTTGAATGAATTAAAATTATGAAATAGGAAGGGTTAATGATGTACTTCGCCAAAACATTATTCAATCTATGTTAGTAGTGCACAGAACAAAAATCCACTGGGCCTTCTCCAGGAAAACACCTGTAGCAGAAAAAACATTTATGAAAATGATTTTTTTAAATTTTTAACCACCAGCTTTTAAGTCCTATATAGAGTCCTATAGTGATGTGTAGTTTAAAGAAATTATATTTTGTAGATAGGAATCTACCAGGTGAAGATTTCATTTTGTATAAAAACATACTGTATTTAAAATATTTACATAAATTACGTGAAAATCCATCTAAAATTAGGTGTACTCATGTGTTTGCTCAAATGTCTCATGATGATTAAAAAGCCATCAGATTTCTTAATGCACAGGTTTGATTCCTGGCATTGTGCTTAAAGAATGTCTTTTTAAATGTAGGACAATATTTTTATTGGCTCTCTTCTTAAGAACTGAATAATAACCTTAACAATGTGAACTAATTTTGTATCCATGCAGTCTCTAAATTGTTACTTCCCTTTATATCAATTTGCTACCCTCAGATTAGAAGTTGTTAGGTAGTTAGATTTTGTACCAGAAATTACTCAACCATTCAGAATACAATTTGTTTATTTTCTGAAACAGGATCATTGATTTCAAAATTATATCATAGGTACGGGAGCCAAACAGTTATATCCTACAATCAAAAGGCAATTAGAGTAGATATTAATGCACTGTGTTGGGAAAGAGGACTTATTGACAAAAGTGGACATTTTTAAATCTTATTTCATGGTTGTAGTTTTTCCTACTTATGAACATGTTGACTTAGCTAATTTCTAAGTATCTGAGTTTTCTTAAAACTACAGTTTAAAAAAGGTGTTGCCTTCTTTACAGCAGCTACTATACCGGATGATATTCTAAGCAATTTAAGACATATTTTTGAAATCTCATAACAGCCCTAAGGAATAATATTAGCCTTCTTTCACAAATGAAACAAAACAGCAGATGCACAGAGAAGTTAAGCATTGTGCCCATAACTGCACAGCTGAGCCCAGCAACATGGCGTTGAGTCTGTGTTCTCATACACACACAGTGTGTAGCTTCTGACTGTGAGTCCATCTTTATTAAGCTACATAGTGATTGACCTTCATGTTATACATGAACTTAAGACTTCCTTTTTGGAGAAAAACAAAAAGTTGTGAGGGTCCAATAACAATGTACCTGACTTTAAAAGAATTTAATGAAATGTGTTGTTCCAAAGATCAGCAAGTTTTTTTTTTTCTATAAAAAGACAGGTAGAGATTTATTTGACTTTGTGATTACAAGGTCTCTGTTGTGACTCTTCCACTCTTCTTCGAATACAGAAACAGCTACAGCCAATGTGT